AATTCTACCATTAAAGGAAAAGGATTTTTTGTTTCTACCCTGTGTTTTGAGCTGGCGGCCAGCCTGTTTGTGTGCGGGTGAGGGTGACCCAGAAGAGGAGAAAGGAGTGGTGCCTCGCTTTGACCTCTGGCTGAAACCCCTACTACATCTCAGCCTGACTACTCCACCCTTAACCTCTAGCCCAGGCCAACTTCATAACCTTGACGCAATCTATGACCCCTGACCTCTGACCCCAAGCCAGAGCGTGCCCTCGCCCTCGAAGGACTGACTTGCAGCATAGCCAATAGTCTGAGAAGCTACGGTCGAAGACGCCCAATAGCACGAAGAGGAGGCGGGCTCTGGGGAGAGCCAATAGCTTGAGAGAACGATTCGAGTAACAACCAGTGGCCTTGAGCAAGAGGCGGGAGTCTGAGGAGAGCCAATCGCTGGAGGGACTCGGGTCCGGCTGTGCCAATGGCTCGGGGGGGGCGTTGCCCTGACTCCGGCCGCTTCCACGACCCGGCCCCAGGGATATGGCCGGGAGTGGGCGACTGGCTCTGGGTACGCTTCCCAGGCAGGGCTGGGTGCGGGGCTCGGGACCGGCTGTGCTGAGCCGCCTGCGGGACGCGGCCGTGGTGCGGCCCGGCTTCCTGAGCGCGAACGAGGAGGAGACGCTGAGCCGTGAGCTGGAACCCGAGCTGCGCCGCCGACGATACGAATATGATCACTGGGATGCGGTGAGGCCGTGGTGCTAGTGGTGGTGTTGCGGCAGGGCGGGGCCCCGGGGGGGCGGGGAGTGGAGTGTTTGGTGGGCAGGGCTAAGGCTGGGGGCGGGACCTTGGTGGGGACGGAGTCTTTAAGCTTGGGAACCTTGGGGGCATGGAGAGCACTTCGGAGATGAGGTCAGGGCCATAACTGGAGGCAGAACCTGGAACTGAGGGATGTTTGGAGGGACAAGACCAAAGTTAGGGGCAGAAACGTGTATGGAGAAGAGATGGGGGTGGTCACGGTTTGGGGATGCAGACGGGGGGCCTGGTGTTGAGTGGGATCGAGTTGTGAATATTGTAGCCAGACCAGCATTGGGGACGGGATCTGAGACTGAATTAGAGCCTGATGGTGGGCACAAAGGACTGAGGCCAGACCTAGATAGGGCAGAGGTTGGGGTTTGAGACCCAGGATCATGGGGTAGATAGGACCAAGGTTGTGAGTTGAAGGTGGGGTCAAGTATCATACTGGAAATAACAGCCCTTTGCTTTGCACTTTGGAACTCACCCCCCCCCCGCCCCCGCACTGTGCCTCCGTTTCCCTGGCCCCCTGGGAGCTTCTAGGCTTGACCTGAGCCTTCTGGGCAGGCCATCCATGGCTTCCGCGAGACAGAGAAGTCGCGCTGGTCAGAAGCAAGCCGGGCCATCCTACAGCGTGTGCAGGCGGCTGCCTTTGGCCCTGGCCAGACCCTGCTGTCCCCTGTGCACGTGCTGGACCTGGAACCTCGGGGCTACATCAAACCACACGTGGACAGCATCAAGGTGGGCAGGGGCCAATGCCTTAGAGCTCCTGGCTGTGGGTGAGCCAGCCAGGCCAAATCCTGACTTGCCACCGTGTCCCCTCTTCCAGTTCTGTGGGTCCACCATTGCCGGCCTGTCTCTGCTGTCTTCCAGCGTCATGCGGCTGGTGCACACCCAGGAACCAGGGGAGTGGCTGGAACTCTTGCTGGAGCCAGGCTCCCTCTACATCCTTAGGTACTGGCAGCCAAGGAGCCCCAACCCCACTGGTAACTCGTAAGACACGCCCACCCCAGCACTTTGAGCACCTTTTCTCATCCAGCCCTCACAGCAAACTACCCACAGACAGTCTGCCTGAAACAGGGACTGCCCTCACCCCACCCACCACAGCCTATTTTCTCTTGCAGAGGCTCAGCCCGCTATGACTTCTCCCACGAGATCCTTCGAGATGAAGAGTCCTTTTTCGGGGAGCATCGGGTTCCCCGGGGCCGACGCATCTCCGTGATCTGCCGCTCCCTTCCTGAGAGGATGGGGCCAGCAGAGCCCAGGCAGCCGCCCCCAGCCTGCTGACCCCTGGGCCCTTCTCCCAGCTTCTCAAGACACTGTGTTTGAGAATAAAGTTAGAGGATGGACAAGCTGGCCTTCCTGGCACTAGCTATTTGCAGGGGCTGGGACCTGCAGGGAAGCCCAGGACCTCACCTGGCTACCCACCGGGAGCATCCCGGGCTGAACACACAGCATGAGGTGGAGGGAGCAGTTTCCTTTATTGAGCTCCTTGTTGGTGGCCCCAGCCCACCTCACCCTTTCGTTTTCTTGGCATCTAAGTCTCCAGTAAAGTAAGTCAGCAGAGCTCCTCCAGCGGCTGCAGGGCCCCGGGCTGGGCACGCTCAGCCGCCGCAGCCACAGGCTGCCGCTGAGAGCTGGGGGCAGCCGCTGCCAGCGGTGGTGGTCGTCCAGGAAGGCCACGTCAGCGTAGCGGGTGGGTCGGCAGCAGGGCCCACCGTGGGCTCGGCCCTGGCTCCGCAGCCAGGCCAGCGTCAAGCCGTGCTGGGTGCGGGCGCCGTGGGGACAGCTGCCGGCGCAGTAGCGGAAGATGACGGTCTCCTCCGATGTGTAGCCCAGGCCCAGCTCGGCCACAGGCAGGGACAGGCTCCACAGCTGGCACGGGCTGGCCGGGGCCCTGTGCAAGCGAGTGCCTGCAGGACAAGGGGCAGCTGACAGCAGGCAGCATCCAGGCAGGAGTTGGAGGGCACATGGGGTTCTGGGGGTCCTTACCCAGCTGTGGCCTCTGGGTTCCTCTGTCGCCCACTGGCTGGGACAGGAGCCCCCCATCCTCCACCGGAGCACCCCAGGTTCCAGGGTTCCCCCCAGGGTCCAGCTGCGGGATCAGGAGCAGCAGAGAGCCTAGCAGGACTCTTCCTGTGGCCATGGTGACGGGCAGGTCCTCAGGGTGGGGGTGCCCTGCACCCTCAATTTATCCGCTGCCTGAGCAGGGGAGATAACCTCTTCACTGCCGGCTGCTGCTCAGGCACAAAGGCCCCCATGTCGCACACCTCGGGCCTAGGCGGTCCAGCCCCTTCTGTCCCACACGGCATCCTTCGAAGAGTTAAGGGTGCACACCCCCCACACACCCTATCCAGACATTCCACATACTGATCTCTGACACCCCCTCCGCCCCCTGATTTATGAGTGTGGCGGCAGCCAGGGCCAAGCCCAGGGCAGGTGACCGGGGTCCCTATTCGACCTGCTGTCTGGAGGGAGAGGCCAGGGACTCCGTGGGTCCCCCGGTGGGACCCTCTGCACTCAGGCAGGGTGCTGGGGCTCAGTGGCCCCTGTGTAGTGTGCCAGGTGGAGCAGCTATGTGTGCAGGGAAGAGGCGGGTTGGCAGGTGGGTGAGCTGACGGGGAATCCATCACGGCTCCCGCCTGGAGGATCAAGACATCAGGCCCCTGTCTCCGGGCCTGGCTGAGCCAGCATCAAAACAGGAAAAGGGAGAGGCCTGGGGACAGCCAAGAGCTGGGACACCAGGGGCAGGAAGCTCCCCTGCAGGGACTCCAGGCTCGAAGGCCAAACAGCCCCTCACCGGGGCCCGAGCCCTATCCTGGGGTTGAAGGGCATCAGAGCTGGAGGGGAGGGTAAGGCCTGCTGAGCCAGGGGCAGCAGCAGGCCCCGGTGACTTCCCCGGCCTAATCCATCACCCCCGGGAAGTGAGCCTCCATCCTGTCCTGTCAAAGGGGGCCAAACAGAGTCCCTCCCACATGGGCTTCTGAGGACAGAAGCTGCATTGAGCATTTAACGTGGGGCCTGATGCTAAGGAGTTGCAAGAGCTTTTGAGGCAAAGGAGGTAAGAACAGCTTGTGTAGGTTTGCGAAGTGCTCAGTCTCATACAGGTGGGACTGGGTTAAACTCAGAGTAGAGTGTACCCAAGAATGGCAGGCGTCAAGTTTGCTTCCACATGGCTGCGCGTGCGTGTCTGTGACAGACATGCCTGCGGGTATGAGTGCGAATCAGTAGCAGGTGAATGTTTGCTACAGAAACTGCAAATCACATCCCTTGGACCCAGGAAACCTGCTTCAGGAACTCATCCTAACCAGGAGAGCGAAGACGCAAGCTCAGGGATGTTTGCTGCCTTTTGTATCAGCGAGAGACTGGAAATGACCTCACCTACACCCACCAGGGACTGCTTCAACGATTTTGGTGTGGTTCATATTTTACTGCTTACAGACTACTTTCAGACGGGGTGGGGATGGGGGCCCCAGGGGTGTTACTTACCCAGAGTCACCCAGAATTAAGCAGCACAGGCGGTATTTGACCCTGGGTCCCACTGAATACAAGTCCCTTGCTCTGGACCCCTGGGGTGTGTGGCGCACCCTGTAGGGAGGCCTTAGACCCCAGTGCACGTGGTAAACAGGACAGGGGCGAAATTGCTAGGGCAAGGGGCAAGCACTCTTTCTGGCTGCCCCAAAAGGCCTGGTGGAAGGATGGGGAGGGAGGTTGGATCGACCTGGGACATTCCAAGGAATTAGTCTGACATCTCAGGCATTCCCGCTCGGCAGCCAAGGGCCGGTAGAGCTGGGTGGGAAAGCTTCCCACCTGTGGTCTCCAGCTTGGGCAAGACAGAAGCCCAACATCCTGCCCCCCGCCGGATCACTCAGATGGGGGCTCAAAAGTAGTGCCTGCTGCCAAATTACACTTCTAGCAATGTGACTGTCCACGAACTCAAAAAAGCCCCCCACCGCCCCGCTGTAGAACACCTAGCAATGCTGCATAAAATGAATGCCTAACTAACCAGTGGGAATCTAAGGAAAACCCCAGAAACATCACTGGAAAGTTGAAAAATAGGGCCCAGAAGCCAACATCAGCCACTGAGGGGTCTGGGATTTTGTGGCCACCTAGGGACAGAGCCACAAGCTGAGAACCACACCTAAAATGGGCTCAGGACAGGACAGGACTTCGGGGGCACCCAGGGGGAGCACAGGCAAAAACCATCTGGAAGGACTTGCCTGCAAAGCAGACCACCCATGAGTTCCCCATCCCAGATAACAAAACACAAGAATCAATCGGAAGGAGGAGTCAGGATATGGGGTGCCTGCGAGCCTCAGGTACTGCATGAGTGTGGGGGAGACTTTAAGACAGGGACACTTAAGGTAAAAAATGCCAGAGACAGGTTCAAGAACGGAAGCGGCCAGACAGAAAACAGACCGGCTGGTCTGAAAAAGAATAAACTAAGTACTTCGTAGGTTTAGGTGGTGGGTAAGCCACAGCTGGAGAGAGAGCTGGCCAAGTGGAAGACAGAGCGGAAAGAAATCACCCAGGAGAGGCTCGGTGGACAAGGCAGAGTGGCAAAAACACGGGCAAGTTCCAAGAGGCGTCTGAAGGTTCCAGAAAGGAGGGACTGGAGAGAGGGAGAAGTAAACCGAGGAGAAAGCAGCAGGGGCCCCTCGGCCTGGGGGCGAGCGGGATGGAATCAGGAGCCGGAGGAGGAGGATCCAGCTAACAGAGCACGTTTATTGGGTGGGGCGGGGCGGGCCTCATTCCTTGAGGGAGAAGTGCATCTTGTCGTTGATCATCTTGCGCTCGGGGTTCAGGCGCTTGAGGATCTGGGCCAGCACGTTCACCGTCTGGTCGCTGCTGAGCCCCGTCTTCTTGGTCTGGAACTTTTTCAGCAGGTCCTTGGTGGTCATGGGCTTCCGCGTCAGGTAGCGGCGCACGGCGTCCTCAGTCACCTGCACATCACTGGAGGCGGCAGGTGGGTGTCAGCTGGCGCCCTCTGGCCCCCACCCCCACACACCCTGCCCTGCCCGCATCGCCCACCCCCACCGTCCTCACCAACTTACCCGCTGCTGGGGGTCGACTTCCCAGACTGGGGCTGAGGGGTGGACTTGCCCGACAGGCTCTGGGGCCCGGGATCCAGCCGCAGCCTCTTGGCCGCCGGCGTCTCGCTGGTCCGCTTCCCTGTGGGAGCAGAGGCGGGGCTGAGCCTTGGGCCGGACGCCGGACCCCAGGGAGGACCCCAGGCCGCCGGCTGTGCCGGGATTACTTGCGCGAGGGCCCGGGGGCAGGCAGGACGCCGAGTGGAGGACAAGGACCGGGTCAAGGCGGGTGGGACGGGCTGGGGACCACTCACCCTGCTCCAGCTTGCTGGCGGCGGCCCGCAGGGTGGAGGAGGTGCTGCCGCCCTCCGTGCTGGGGGTGCCCGGCCGGCTGTTGCCCCGGGAGCTGCCTCCCGACGGCTTCCGCTCTCTCTTCGGGGGCGTCTTTTTCTTCTGCGGAGATCGCAGTGGGGGATGTGAGTCGGGCAGGAGGTACTCCGTCCGCCCCCGCCCCGCCCCGCCCGGGCCGGGCCTCACAGCCATGAAGAGGGCCGAGGAGGCCTCGCTGTCGATGTCGCTCTCCTCCGAGCTGTCCGACTCATCGCTGCTGTCTGCATGGGGCAGAGAGGGGTGTCAGGACCAGAGACCCCCGTGCCCGCACTCAGCCCGTCCCAGATCAGCGGCCCAGAGGGCGCGCCCACCTTTCCTCCGCTTCTTCTCCTGCGGCGTGGGCGCCTTCTTCTCCTCCTCCTCCTCCTTTTCCTCCTCCGGTGGCTTCTCCTCCTCGCTCTCCTCGCTGCTCTCGCTCTGCTCATCCACGCCCTTGGGGCCCTCCTCCTGCTGGGTGACCTTGGGCTTGCCCTCCAGCTCGTCCTGGGAGCTGCTGTAAGACAGAGAGCGGGCAGAGGGTGAGTGAGCGCGTCCGCCGCCGGCCCAGGGTCTCACACCCGCCTCCCGCCTGCCTCACCTGGAGCCGTCAGACATGTAGTCCACCTCCTGGCCCTCGAAGTCCCCGTCGTCGCTGTCCTCGAAGGCCTCGTCATCTGACCCCTTCTTCTTCTTCTTCTTCCTGCCCCCCTTGCCGGGCGGCACCTTCCTCTTGGCCTTGGGGGCTCGGCTGCCTGGGGAAAGGCGGAGAAGGCAGAGGGGCTCAGGTGGGCATGCATCCCATTGTTGTATTCGATGACATCTGGACATCTCCGGGTCCTGCTGACCCAGGAGAGATGCCAGGACCAGCCAATTCCTCCAGGAGTCAAAGGGGTGGGCCTCTCACCTGCAAACTAACTGAGCAATCCCAACTCCACACCCCCCACCCCCTTTCTCTAACTCACATACAGGGCCACCATTGCTGCCCTAAATTACCTGGGCCAGGCACCTCACAACTTGAGACCACCCGCTGGCCCAGAGCCTGCTGGAATACTCCAACTGGCCAGTCCTAAGATGTTCCCATGGAAACCCCAACTGAGGCTGTGGCCAAGGCCTTCCTGGGGCTTCCTGCTGCCTCCTGCCCATTCTGGGGGCCCCCTAAGCGCCTGAGCTCTGGTGTCCAGGGAACTGGGAGTAACCAAGCTTTCCTTTCAGTGGCATCCACCTCTGTGCCATTGCACAGCCTCCTGGATAAATTACGAGTGGGCACTCATCAGGCAGCTGTGCTGGCCACCCTGCCACCTGAGGACTCCACCCAGCCTCACCCTCCTCGCCGCTGGCCTCGCTGTCAGATGACATCTCCAGATCGTCCTCCAGGTCATGGATGCGCAGCTCGCTGGCCTTCTTGCGGCCGCGCTTCTCCTTCTCCTCATCCTCCTCGTCCTGGTCCTGGTCCTTGAGCCGCCGCTGCTGCATGATGCTGAAGTGGTTCAGGACTTTGTTTCTCCTGTGGGCAGGACGGGGTACAGCAGGGGCTGACAACGGGCCCTCCTCCAGGAGCTGGGTTTCTTTCCCAGTGCCTCCCAGCACCTTCCCCAGAGAAGAACCACAGACACAACTAAGGTGATGTGAGGGATGACCTGACCCTGCACCTGGGGACACATACATGTGGCACAAACCATGAGATCACCCTCCTCCAGTCCCTCTCTGCCCAGAGTCCCTCAAGGAGAAGGTCTCATGGGACGCTGATGTCCCAACACCTCTCTTGAACTCAGGGCCCTTCTCCAGCAGTAGAATCTGGCCGCAATGCACCCACGTCTGTTTTTATTGTAGTTTATGGATGCCTTCTTTTTAATGTCAAGGGATTAGTGTTTCCATTTAGTGTGGTGATGGAAGTTTTTAAAAATGTGATTGGATTAAGAGAGCACCTTAGCATTGTATCCAATAACAGGAGCGGAATTCATTTATATTCATAGAAACAGGAATGCAGCTCTAGTCAACACAGTATTGGAAGTCCTAGCCTCACCAATCAGACAAGAAAGAAATAAAAAATGAAAGGAAGCTGAATTGGAATGGAAGAAATAAAACTGTTTGCAGATGGCATGATACTACATATATAGAAAATCCTAAAAGTGCCACCAAAAAACAATTAGAACTAATAAATGAATTCTACAAAGCTGCAGGATACAAACTTAATATACAGAAATCTGTTGCATTTCTATACAGTAACAACAAACTATCAGAAAGGGATATTAAGAAAACAATCCCATTTACAGTTGCATCCAAAAGGATGAAACACCTAGGAATAAACCTAACCAAGGAGGTAAAAGACCTGTACTCAGAAAACTATAAGAAACCGAAGATGACACAAACAAATGGAAAAGTATCGTTCATATGACCATACTACCCAAGGCAATCTAGAGAGCTGATGCAACCCCTATCAAGATACCAATGGCTTTTTTCATATAACAAATAATTTTGAAATTTATATGGAAACACAGAAAACCCCAAATAGCCAAAACAATGTTGAGAAAGAAGAATAAAGCTGAGGTATCACACACCCTGATTTCAAATTATACTACAATGTGACAAGAGACACATAGACCAAGGGGACAGAAGACAGCCCAAAAATGAACCCATGCATCTGTGGTCAAGTAATCTATGAGAGGAGGCAAGACTACAACAGGGAAAAGACAGCCTCTTCAATAAGTGGTGTTGAGAAAACTGGACAGCTCCCTGTGAAAGAATCCAACTGGACTACTCTCTCAACCATGCACAAAAATAAATTACAAACGTATCAAAGACTTAATGTAAGATCTGAAACCATAAAACTTCTAAAAGAAAACATAGGCAGTACACTCTGACATTAGTCTTAGTAATATTTTTTTTGGCTCTGTCTCCTTAGGCAAGAGAAACAAAAGCAAAAATAAACAAATGGGACTACACCAAACTAAAAAGCTTTTGCACAGTAAATGAAACTATTAACAAAACAAAAACACAACCAACTGAATGGGAGACGGTATTTGCAAATGATATATCTGATAAGGAGTTAATATCCAAAATATACAGAGAACGCATACAAATCAAAAACAAACGAACAAAAAAACCTTATTAAAAAATGGGCACAGGACCTGAATAGACATTTTTCCAAAGAAGACATACAGATGGCCAACAGGCACGTGAAAAGATGCTCAACATCACTAATTATTAGGGAAATGCCAACCAAAACCACAATGTGATATCACCTCACACCTATTTGAATGGCTATCATCAAAAGACAACAAATAACAAGTGCTGGTGAGGCCGTGGATAAAAGGGAACCCTCGTACACCATCGGTAGGAATGTAAATTGGTGCAGCCACCAATTTACATACAAAATTTTACATACAATTTACATACAAAACAGTATGGAGGTTCCTCAAAAAAATTAAAACTAGTGGGCAGAGGATATAGCTCAGTATAGAGCACATGCTTAGCATGCATGAGGTCCTA